TAAATGTTTTTTTTTTTTAGTCTCGTTCGCCAAGGCTGCGATTATTTGATCAAAAATACGGAAAATTGTAATATTGTCAAATATTATTGCAATTTAAAATAACTGCTTTCTATTTTAATGTATTTTAAAAATATATAATTTATGCATGTGATGGCAAAGCTGATTTTTAGCAGCCATTACTCCAGTCTTCATTATTAAGTTGAAAATAAATTGGGTAAAAAGCCTCTAAAATAAGTTTATTTGTAATATCCAATATAGTTCTTAATATACTTAGCCTAGTTTTACATATCATAAAATTTGTATTTAATATATGGGTAATAGCTTATCTAAGGTTGATGATTATTATGATTATGATGATTATGATTATAAAGTATTTGAATTACTTTTTAAATTCAAAACAGATTAAAGCTAACCAAAAATAAGATCCAAACGAGACAACCAAGTAGAATAAATAAATATTTAACGAAATTAAAAATAATAATAATAATACAAAATATATTTATATCAGTTGGATATATTAGTTTCATAAATACTCATTCACAAATTCCATCTTTATTTATATTATTTAATTCTGGACTTTTGTAAATTTATACATATCCACATTTAATCATGTTTTATAAAAATTTTTTTTACGTTTGATTATTTAATTATAATTATGGTGTTTATTATTTAATAATTATGTGTTATTTCATTTAAATAAATATGGTCTAATATTCTAAATATTGTGGTTATAGATGTTATTGACATTTCCTAATATATCTATTCTTAATTGCAAATTTAATTTGAACACTAATATAAAATTATTACCTATTTTACTCAATATTGACTCAAAAGTCAGTATTTGAAACCAGTTTATTATCATTTGACAAAGCTGTCAGTCTAATTGGAAAGGAACACAGCTGAACTGCCTCATTTTTCTGTTCATCACTACTTATATGTGACCCTGGGCCACAAAACCAGTCATAAGGGTCAATGTTTCGAAATTGGGATTTATACATCATCTGAAAGATGAATAAATAAGCTTTCCATTGATGTATGGTTTGTTAGGATTTGGACAATATGAGATACAACTATTTGAAGATCTGGAATCTGAGGGTGCAAAGAAATCAAAATATTGAGAAAAACGCCTTTAAAGTTGTCCAAATGAAGTTCTTAGCTATGCATATTGCTAATCAAAAATTAAGTTTTGATATATTTACAGTAGGACATTTACTAAATATCTTCATGGAACATGATCTTTATTTAATATCCTAATGATTTTTGGCATAAAAGAGAAATCGATAATTTTGACCAGTACAATGTATTTTTGGCTATTGCTACAAATATACCCCAGCGACTTAAGACTGGTTTTGTGGTCCAGGGTCACATATTGTTTATTACAAGCTTTGTGAAATTGTCACCAAAAACGCTCATAGATCCCGTGTCTCATTGTGTCACGCGCAGGTATTGGCTGCCCAGTGCCGAGGATCCCGGCGGAGGCCAGTCCGCTGGCCGATCACGTGTCAGCCACACGCATTCTGTGCGGCGCCCTTGTGTTCCCCACCATCGCCACCATCGTGGGTAAACTGATGTTCAGCAGCGTCAACTCAAACCTTCAGAGGACCATTCTGGTACAAGAACATCACGGAAAGCGATGTCAGTGATTTATACACGCGTATCCTCACACTGATGAGCTGTATCTCTCTCTGTTTCAGGGTGGCATAGCGTTTGTGGCTATTAAAGGGGCGTTTAAGGTTTATTTCAAGCAGCAGCAGTATCTCCGACAAGCTCATCGCAAGATCCTCAATTTCCCTGAGACGGAGGAGGCCTGAGCTCATCATCAAACCTCTGCTCGATTCCATCCACGTCATTTTCATTTCACGCAGCTTTGAGAGACACTACAGGACATTTTCACAGACGCTGGATTTGGGTTTTCGTGAATGTGACTATTGCGTTTGGCGTTTGAATAGTGATTCAGCTTCGTTTCAGTTGATTTAATCAGACCTGGGAGTGCGTTACTCATTTTATGGGCTTTGACATTTTAAGAAAGAGACTGAGGAAAAATAAATATTGAAAGAAGGTTTTATATTAATAAGTGGTTGTTTTATATTGAATTAGAAATGTTCAGGTGAATCACTATCTTTCAAATGAATCTTTGAAGCATCCTTAACATGCAAACGACGACGTGCCGTTTCACATCTTTTCTTCCTTTATTAGACTAGTGAATGCAATATTAGATTCTAAAGGCAAACAGGAATACGTAAAGCTGTTTTCTCGTAATTATCTTATGAAATAACCTTTTTTATCTGGTCTTCTTGGATGAATTTCCCCATTTTCTGTTATATTTCACACCAAAATCAAAAGAAATAAATTGCTAAATTGTCCAACAGAAGTCTGGACAATGATTTTTGTTTCAATTTTAATTCAATTAAGTACATATATAATACAAATCTCTAATTGAACATTTATTTTGTATGAAAATTAAAAAAAAATTGCGTTATGGAAATTTAACAAATCAAAAAAAAATTTTACATTGCAAAAATCCTGAAAATAAGCTCTTTTTTTAAAAATGCAAAATCAATATAAAAGTCGTTTTTTGGGGTGAAACATGAAAGCGTTTGTGAGATTCACCGTCTTGCCTGCCTTCACATAATTTAAGCGATCAGCCGATCAGGTTTCATTTCTATCTTTGTAATGTTGATGTCTGAGTTTCAGGGAGTCACTTTTATAGAGTCAGTCTGTTAAGGGTCCTGTACAAACCGAGAATCCAGTGTTTGGTCCTTAATTGATCACTCTATTAAAACATTATGGTACCTGATGCCTCATAACTGCTGTTAATAAACCGGTTTCATAATATATTCCCAGAGATAAATAGTCGTGTGTGAACAGTGAACTTTTAAGAGTATTGGTGGCCTTTTTATTACACCAGGACAGGTTTACAGATAAGACCGGTTTATTTGGTGAACATGCCATTTTTTTCCTGAATCGTTGTGTTTTATGACTTGTAATTCACGTAGTGCATCTGTTTTATCTCCAGCCATCAGCCACCATAATATGGATGAAATTGGGAGAAAACAGTATATAAAGACAGTGGCAGTGCATACTAGTACTATTTTGTAAAGCAGTATTACACTACAATGTGAGTTTGTGATGAAACATCTTCCAGTGGGCTGTGAGCGGCTTTTATTGTCCATAGTTCAAATAAATTATTACAGCTTTTGATGATAGACGTAACCCTGAAAGAACATGCTTAATGCTGACTTAGTTGCTAAGAAAAAAGTGTTTAGCTACACCAACTGCACGACTAACAGTAGCAGATGAGTTTTTCTGTTGGCTAAATATGATTTTAAATTCTCACTTTCTTTTCAGCATCCAATTGTGCTGTATAATATCAGTGGTGTATGTGTAATGTCTCCTGTTGTACAGATGAAGCACAATGCCAAATACAGAACATGTTGTAAAATGGATGCGTTGTACAGACACGGCTTCTGAATTCATAGTTTCCTGGTTCATTTATGTAAATAAATGTATTTTTCCAATGCCTGACTGTGTGTATTGGGCAGTTTGAGTTTTTAACTTGGACTAATAATTATGAGGATTTCAAATACATATCCTAATAAATAATAATAAATCCTAATAAATTATGTGATAGTCTATTCTTAAATCTGTAGCATATAAAACAATGTCATTTTTGTGTCACTAACAGTACAAATGGATTGCAATTGTGTGTTGCTGCTACCGGCACAAAATTTACGTTTACAAGCTTTATATTTAAGGCTGTTGTATTGAAAACCATTTAGGAATTCAAGGTATTTATGAGACTTTTGAAATATCGAAGTATTAAACCATTTTTACTGGCTATACATTGATTTTGCAAAGTACATAAATACACAATATGGCAATAAATGCATATTTTAAGCCATACTTAAAATGCAACACATACTCCCAGTTTCAGAGACAAGGCTTAAGTGTAGACCCAGACTAAAATGCATGTCTGTTCTGTTCTAACTGTAAGAAACTTGCACTGACATATCTTAAAATATGTTAGTACTATTGCTTTGTCTCAAGATGCACACCAGTAATGTTTTTTTCTATGGCACGTTTATAAAAGACACTTAAATGCCCTAATTGAACCAAGGCCTACTCCTGGCTTAACCTAAGCCCTGTCTGTGAAACCAGGCCTATGTTTTATAAAGCTTGTAACGTGTCCATTCACCATGGGGTCCTGAGAGCAAGTTCCCTAACTTTCTTAATATAAAAACATGGATAGACATCAATTGCAAGATTGGATATTATCATTTAATAAATAAAACTCATGAAAACATTCGAGTAGTTGATCCTTTGGAAACTCAATTTTGAAAGCTGTACATTTTAAATCCATTGCCGTCCATTAATGAAGGAAATGGTGAAATTTTCTATAGTAATCAATAGCATAACAGCTGAAGCGGAGCACAGAGTGCAAGCTGTATTTAAGGTAGAATATTCCTTTAAAAATCTCTTCATGTTTAACAGGCTCAAGAATCCCCAAAGAAAAATCTTAAGTGCAGATCAAAAAGACAAAAACAACACAAATGAGTTCATACAATTGTTTAATTATCATAAAACAGAAAACTCTTCCACAGATACACATTCCCCAGATGCACTTCAAAACCACCTAATAAACACGAGAGATTTCAAATGAACCATTTCCACCTCATGACCGCAGTTTGGTACATACAAGCCCATTCCTTGGATTTGGAACAGAATGTAACCTCATCTTAGACTCATTCATGCAGAGTAACTCATTAAATCCTGCTCTTCTAGATATCTTTACTCTAATATTCTGCCTAATGTTCACCACAGTAAAACACACGTGACATCAGGTTACAGGAGACGGTGAGAACCACAAGCATCTGTTGCAGTCACTACAGAACTCGGAGCTGATTCTAGAACAGTTAAAGGGATTTGGGGTGCAACAAATGCTCTGATTGCATGCGAAATGCATCTTTGGATTTTAAAGCAATCTAGAAGTTCACCCCCCGCCCCCACTCACAAAATTAAAACAAATACAATAGTGTCATTTACTCAGCCTCAAGTCATTCCAAACCTGTATTTTCTTTATTTTACAGAACAAAAAGATGTTCAGCAGAATGTCCATGTTGCTTTTTCCATAAAATAAAAGCATTCAGTGACCCAGAGCCAAATAAATGATAGTTCATACAAAAATAAAAACACTTTCATCACCGCAATGTCCAACTGTCCTGAGCGCGTTCACAACATCCGGCGCGGAAGCGATCTGTTGTGCGTATACAACACTCATTGGATGTTGTGAACACGCTCAGGACAGTTGGACATTACGGTGGATCAGAGGTAAAAAAAAAAATTATATAAATACTGTTCAGTTTCTTGCACAGACCGATCTTTTCTTGTCTTAAGACCTCAATGTACCGTCACGAGCCGCAGGGTTTCATTTGGTTTTGTCTGTGTATGTTTTTTTGCCTCTCAAAGCCGTGGAGCCCATTCACTTCCATTATATGACTGACAGACTGCAACGGTTTGAGTTAAAAATCTTCGTTTGTGTTCTACTGAAGAAACAAAGTCACCTACATCTTGGATGCCCTGGGGGTAAGCAGATAAACATCACATTTTCATTTTTGGGTGAACTATCCCTTTAAACTTAAAAAATGGCCATGAAGTACCAAAAAGTATTTTCAACGTGACTGGTTGCACAACCCAAATAATCTGAAGCCATCTGATAGATTTGTGATGAACAGACTACAATTTAAATCATTATTCATCTTTAGCTTTCATTGAAATCATTGAAAAACAAAACATTTGAGAGCAGCTGAGATTTTGAACTGAACTTCCTCCCCAGTTCTTTCAGTATTATGTATATACTATTATATTGTTTTTATTTTCAGTTTTCATTTTAAATGTTAAAGTTTTAGAAATGTTGGTTTTGGTTTGCTTCTGCCATTTTTATTATGACAATATTTAGACTTTGCTTTTTAACCAATTTTAGTACAAACTCATTTTATTTGACTTTATATTTTTCTTAAGTTTCCCCATCTAATATTTATTTCAGCTTTATTTCAATTACTGAAAACCATTTTGAATAGTTTATTAATGAAGCTATCAAATGGCTTCAAAAGATTTGAAATATAAGGCACAACGCATACGGACTACTTTTATGGTTCTTTTCATGCCGTTTTTAAAGCTTGACAGTCACTTTAATTGCATGGAAAAGAACTCAAACTTGTTTTTCCGTGAAAGAAAATGTAATACAGGATTGGAACGACATGAGAACCAATATGATTACTAAATTTACATTTCTAGATGAACTATAACTAATCCTTTAAATTCAAAAACACACAAACCACCAAAACCAATGCAGTGAGATGCCGGAGTATATCCGTCTTTTAGTGGTACAACCAAACTCATCTAAGAGGCTGATATCAGATTGTACAGTTTGTTTCGCAGAGCATGAAACAGTATTCATTATTTTGATGGAGGTGATAAGATGGTTGAGTTTCTAAAAAATGCAGCATACAGTTGATTTGATAAGCCTGAGTAAGTCCAGAATAAATTTCAGCACTAGAAACACAAGTGATGGTGAAGACTTGGCTCGAGACAAGAATAACACACACCTGAGATGAGGACATGCATGGATTACAGACCGACATGATGTTCCTGTGTCAGCGCAGGTAAATTACAGCCTTCAAACACGTCACAGGAGGGTTTTCTGAGCACAGACCAAGTCTAGTTCTCGTCTAATCTGTTTCTCGGAACCAAGCTCAAAGCGTGTCAAGAAAAACACCTAGTATAGAGTTTAAGACACTAGTCATAGGTCCTGTAAGTCACATTATTGCTTGTGAGGAGTGCATAACCACAAGTCAAGACATCAGAAGTAAAACAAACCCAGTTAAAGGGGATTTCAGAGTCAGTTTCTCATAACTTCCTGAAAGTGTAAATGTTGTCATGTTTTATATGGATATTGTTATAGGGGCGAGTTAAGTGTGTATGAATACATGAATGTATTCATATAAAATCGTTCGAAAAACCAGTGGTGCATTTAATTGTGTCAAACTTTAAATTCAAATCAAACAAATGTTTGATCCGAGTATGGTTTTCACAAACAATTTACATAATTGAGGTTTCATGAGAGGAATCTGTATTTCTGTTATGAGACTGAGTTTAGGTCAAATTAACAGGGATTCAGGTATTTTATGAATTGTTTTAGGACAAAGTAACTTAAATAAACAAATGAAAATTATATTAAAAATGGTTTATTATGATACTTTGTCATGTTTTATATGGATATTGTTATAGGGGCGAGTTAGGTGTGAACAGTTAACTGTTCATGAATGTATTCATATAAAATCGTTCGAAAAACCAGTGGTGCATTTAATTGTGTCA